GTACATTTGTTAATAACTTCACCTGCTGGTTTCCAAAGCTCCATCGTGAAGCCTCAACATGAGGATTTTTGTCATCAGAGGCGGATGTGACTGTTAAACTGCATTCTCATTGGTTCACAAACTGTCGATCACAATTCATTAGCCGACGGGCATAGCCCATATAAGCCTTCTTTCTGAAACTTAGAGTTAAAGGCTGCTTCTACCTTTTATACTCTAACAGAAAGAGAAACTTATCACATAATGAAGTCAAAGGCGAGACCATAAGAGGACAGTTTTCAGTGTTGTTTTCATGGACGACAGTCAACCAATAAAAACATGGAATAGAAATAGAAAGCAAAACATCACACTTGAGCTACACCAATTACTGGATGGCTGCTTTTTAACTATGAACACTATGTATGAGCATTTACATGCAGATTCTGTCTCCAGTGGACTGCTGCTTGTTTAGGGTGTCGTTCAGATCAGCAGGATGAGCCATGAAGTGTTGAGCAAGAGTCTGAGTCATGTTTGTGGAACATTCGTTTCTTATTCTTTTATTACTTGATAGGATAAAATAAAATTAGTTTAAGAGCATCATGAAGTGGGAAAATATGACTGATGGAGTTTATTCTTTATTCATGTTCTAACCAAAACCAAGTGGCTTTTACCGCATGCTTGTCATAAGCATATTTTTCCCTGTTTTATTTCTTATTCATCTCCTTATTTCTGTTGTTGAGTGCATTTTTAAATAAAATAAAGTGACCATAAATATCTCATTAGTTTGCATTACTAAGAAAATACCTTTTTTGAGGAAAGTACCCCTTATTTTGATAGTTTTGTGTTTCCTTTCACTTTTTAGAACATTTCCTCACCAGTCTTAAACCTTTCATTTGGGAACATGTGTTAAAGGGAATCTGCTGGGTCTCCCACAAGCATCCAAACAACCCTTAAACAACCCCCTAGACAAATTTGTTTAGATGAAAGAATGAAAACGAGAGTTAACTGCCCCGGTGGACTTCATTACGGCCTCGTGTTCTCAGCTCTTATAACTTGGAGAGTACAACATTATAACATAAAGAAATAATGGGCAGAACTATGAAAACAAGTTGAAACAAAACAAAACAATGGTTCAAGTTGAACATAATATTTGAGTTTTCCATTGAAAATGCTTCATGCTCAACATACGGTTCATATTTGTAAAAGAAGGCTGGTTTACTGCAAAAATCTCTCATTCGTTCAACTAACTGCAGGGCTAAAGGCTGACTGAAGTAGGATTTAAACGCTTGTTATTCCTTTACTTTTTTCCTCAAGAGTGACCCACTTTCACTTTGACCGCACGCGCACAAGTTTGGATGCAATAAAAGTAATAACAAATGACAAAATGAGTGAGATAATCCCGAAAAGCTCACTTCAGTCTGAGAACGGTTATAATGCACAGATGAAGGGAAAAAGAGATGAATTTGTAGCAACCAGAGCCCATAAAGGAAGGAGAGTCATCACCAGGCAGGAAACCAACAGTCCTCAACTGCAAAATGACCTCATCCAGTCCCGATCTGTGTGTTTGTGTGTGCGTGGTTATGTTCTCATGAGAGCTGAAAGACGAGGCAAGTCCTCAAAGTCAAATGGGGCAAAATCAGAAGTTTGGCTCGGCCGTGTGTGTGTGTGATGGAGGCTGGAACCACAGTGGGACTACTGTAGACTGCTGTCTTTATCTGATGCTGATCCCCAAAACCATATATGGGAATCAGACTGGACGGAGAGAACGAAAGACAGACCGAGATGAAAAATAGCATCAAAGAAAGATCCCCAAAAAGAGAGAAAGACTGGAATGAAAACAAGAGGC